TCTCAAGTCAGTTTAAAAACCTCTGTTGAAAAGCAGTTCCTTGTGTTACCTTGAGAATAACTCAGTCAGCAAAAAGGGATAAAGTACTGATTTTTAAAAAAACCCACATGTAGAATCTGGACTCTGAGGCAACAAAGACAAACAAACTAAAAACTCATTTACAGGGTGTGCTCTGGGCAAGCAGATGTCCCAGCAGCATTCAGTTTTTCTAAGAATGCTGTTCCTTTCTGCCTCCGGCTTGGGGCCTCTCATTCGGTCACCTTTGAACAATATTTTAGCAGGTGCAGTCCTTTTCCTGTGCTTGTTATTGCTGCTAAGAGCATGCTGAGAAAGGGCTGAATGAATGTTTATGCATTTACCTGCTGTGGGACAGGACAACAATGCTGAGCTGAGCTTTGACTCTAGTATTAATACTTGGGGAACACCAAATAGGATTTTGACACCAGATTTAACTGATACTTTCCTTCATGTTCAGAGTATGCAGTTTCAGATCCAGTTTTACTTTATTAGTATTTAAGATCCTTCATGCTTCCACTCCTTCCTAAGTAAGCAAAAGAGCATGTGTCCAGTACATACACCCCTCTCAGTTCATTGCTGTCCAACACCAATTTATCCTTGTTGCATGCTATAGTCAAACCACCATGTGATCTCAAAATCTCAAGCTTACAAACAATGAGTAAGTTTTACACATACTAGAGATTTCATTGATTTGTTGGATTGGGATCCAAGCTGAGCTAGACTGGTACTTGGATGGGAGCTTTCCCCAGAACTATTTATAAGAAAAGATGGCGATTCTGTAGTTAACTCATTTCCTCAGAGTTAGTCTTGAAACAATGTTCTAAAGTGGTGCTATTGTGCACTATGTTCCTGGAGATGCCATTTTCCTAGTAGGTGTCAGACTGTGGCATTAAACATTTCTTATAACTACAAATAGCATAGTACTTTTTTTTTCAAGTGCAGGCATGTGTTAAGCCCAGTGTCGTCTTGTACAAATTCCCACTTGGCCTAATTCAGTGCATCAAACATGCCCCTTTCATGAGGATACAGAATTATGTTTTACTCTTACATAGTGGTGCCTGGTGAGAATTTGTAAATCCCATTGCAGTGTAAGACAGGATCACTTTAGTAACCTTCCCTTAGCTCACTGGAGGGTATTTTTAGATTCAGACAATACTTGCGAAGTGTTTTGAGATTTTTTAGGGGAAGAGTTTGAAGTATCAAGTCACACTATTCATGTTTGTTTAGTCCACTGACTCCACCGATCTTATCAAAAGGATGATGAACTGCTCTCAATTTATTTTTCTAGCATGTTTGTCTCCCGGCTTCCTTCAGCAGCAGACACATGGGTCTTATTGTTCAATGGATTTTCTTCTTCAACAATAACAAAAGAGTCTTTAATGCAGCAGATGAGGAAAATATTCCTCTCCACTTTTGTTTGAGTTCAGATGTGTTTAGAATATGATTCCAGGACCACAATGAGACCATTGTCTATTTGGGAGCAGCTTGATTCCCAAGTTCCAAGGGAAGATGGCAAATCCTGACATTGTGTGGTACTCTGCCTTAGTTTGCTAGTCCCTGAACCTGCTGTGACTGGAACAAGTTTTTCTTGCTATACATCAGTGATGGGCAGCCTGCAGCCCATCTAGGTTCTATGTGTGGCTTGTGAGACATTTGGTTTACCATGGCCCATGTGCAGGGTTGCCAAATTCCACTGGTTTTCACAGAAGTGAAAGTAAATTAAAATTTCTTAGAAGTCCTGTCCTATTGCAAACCTGGGTCCCTGCCAGCTCTGTAAATAGCTCCCTGCTGGCTTGTGCTGCAGCTCAGCCATCTCTTGCCCGAGCTGCACACCATGGCGCACCCGCTTACTTTCACCTCTGGGTTTTCATCTGCGTAGTGTTTAACTGAACACACTAAAGTGACACACACGTAAAGCAAGAATATGTGACTGAGAACCATCACTTCCTCTGCATCCAATCAAAGTGCTGAACTCCATCAGCACAACCTGCTAGCTCAGGTACGCAAGCTCAGTTAACAAATCTACCCTACCCCGGGAAACCATCTTGATTACGACCATCTTGTGGCCCACTGAGATGGCGGAGGGCCACTCATTAACTTAGGTTCCCCATAACTTCCATAGATGCAAGTTTGATTTGTTTTTCCATGGATGTGAGCTAATGAAGGTGGGTGCGGGAAGGATTGAAGTAGGTGTCACTATGGCACCAGGAGTGACGGTATGGTAAATCAAATCAGAAGAAGACTCAGGTGAGGTGCTCTTCCTCACCCTGCAGTAGTTTGTGACAGTGACTATCTGTGGACCTCAGCCATCTATCAGGTCAGAAGGCATTAGAGCTGCTCATATGCACATCAGTTTCCCCTGCTGACAGAGCTAGTAGATTTGTTAATTTAGGTCAAGTGTGCATAGAGTTATGTCAGTTGACTGCTGCCCTCGATGGATGGGAGGGTCAACTTGATCCTGGATGCTGCACAAGTTGGCTGAAACTGTTGACAGAAATTCTCAGCCAGCTTTGAGACCATATATCCATTGTACTGATTCCTCGCCCTTTCCCCTCCTTATCCAGTTAAAGCTGCTGCATATTTTGCATGTCTGAGAACAGTAGCAGCGATGTTATATGGCAACCCTTACTCATGTGAGTCATTGTGCTGACTTCCGTGAGGGTGCATGGACATAAGCAAGTAGAACTGCAGCAGTGCACCCAACATCATCAAAAAGGTGATTAAGAGCAACACTAAGGCTATGTCTAGACTGCAAGCCTCTTTCGAAAGAGCCTCTTTCGAAAGAGAGCGTCTAGACTGCACGTTGAACTTTCGAAAAAGCAGCTTGCTTTTTCGAAAGAAAGCATCCAGTGAGTCTGGATGCTCTCTTTTGAAGAAGCCCTATTTACATTGAAGAACGCCTTCTTTCGAAAGAGGAACTTTCGAAAGAAGGCGTTCTTCCTCGTGAAATGAGGTTTACTGCCATAGAAAGAAAAGCCGCGTTCTTTTGATTTAATTTCGAAAGAACGCGGCTTGAGTCTGGACGCAGGGGAAGTTTTTTCGGAAAAAGGCTACTTTTCCCGAAAAAACCCCTGAGTCTGGACACAGCCTAACAAATACCACTAAAATCCTGATGTTATCAACATATTGTCTAGGTTCAACACATGACAATTCCATACAATGCTACACACATGAGCTCATGTGATCTTCATTCTCATTCTCCCAGCTCCTGGTGGAAGCTAGCCAAGGCATAGCCAGTCTCTAGGCCTGGAACTTGCATGCAAGGAGACTTTTTCTAGTCTTATGGCCAGATACCACAGCCTAGACTCACCTCAGCAGTTCCACTGAAAGCCATGGGATGATGCACATGAAAGGCTGCAAGATGGGACCACCATGACAACTGTGAAGAGGAGACACAGAACTTCCCAGAGCAGAAAAAGAGAAGCTCCATCCCCTTGCTGCAGAGTTTAGTCTGATTCAGACACATGACATACACAGGAGAGCAGATAAAGCTAGTTTAGTCCAATGTATTTAATGACTCAGAAAGCCTTAATGACCTTGACAAGCAAGATGGTACAATCAGCCGGTGGATCAATATAAAGAGAATTGGGTTTTAAGGAGGGTTTTAAGGAGCAAGACCATTCTTTAAGTTAAAGCTTTTATAAAATCTGAATGCACCAGTCAGTATTTCTCTGGCTGATCAATGCAAAGGAGAGAGGGATTGATTGCAATTAAAGCAGGTTAACAAGAAGGGTAAATGTATTCGCGCGACACTGACTTTTGCTTGTTATCATAAGGTCAAGTCTTCGATGACCAAGATGTCCTCTTAAATATGTTTTGTTTTAAAGAAGACAAGACATTTGAGGCCCAGAGTGAAAGAGGATTATATCCCTTTTACACCCCCCTCCCCCTTTGCCTGGTCACTGCTAGTTTCTTTCCTCTGACTTTAATGGCCATTTCCTTCACCACGGTGAAACCTGAGAGACACATTATTGCGCCTACAGATTCAGCCAAAAGAGACAGCAACAGAAAGCAGCTCTCATATTGTGGCAGCATCTCATTACATGTCAGGCTATGTTAGACCGAACCAGGCACTTCCCTCTAAAGTGTCTGCCCTGGTCTATTGGGCTAGATAGGCCCTTGGTCTGATCGAGTATAACTAGTCCCATAGAATCATAGAATACTAGGAATGGAAGGAACCTCGAGAGGTCATCGAGTTCAGTCCCCTGCTCCCATGGCAGGATCAAATACTGTCTAGACCATCCCTGATAGACATTTATCTAACCTACTCTTAAATATCTCCAGAGCTGGGGATTCCACAACCTCCCTGGGCAATTTATTCCAGTGTTTAACTACCTTGACAGTTAGGAACTTTTTCCTAATGTCCAACCTAAACATCCCTTGCTGCAGTTTAAGCCCATTGCTTCTTGTTCTATCCTCAGAGGCCAAGATGAACAAGTTTTCTCCCTCCTCCTTATGACACCCTTTTAGATACCTGAAAACGGCTATCATGTCCCCCCTCAGTCTTTTCCTTTCTAAACTAAACAAACCCAATTCTTTCAGCCTTCCTTCATAGGTCATGTTCTCTAGATCTTTAATCATTCTTGTTGCTCTTCTCTGGACCCTCTCCAATTTCTCCACATCTTTTTTGAAATGCAGTGCCCAAAACTGGACACAATACTCCATCTGAGGGCTAACTAGTGCAGAGTAGAGCAGAAGAATGACTTCTTGTGTCTTGCTCATGAGAGCAACAGTACTGACACAAGGGACTAGCTTCATCAGAAGTAGATGATTTAAAACCCTAATTTACATAGCAAGGGACACTTCTGATTTGTTACAATTTGGTAGACAGTACCAAGTAATACCACCATAATAAGCAAAAGACACATGTTCAGTGGAGCTCACTTTGGCTTGGTACTTTGAAGTCTGCAAGCAACCAAATGCAGGTGATCTGCATGCTCAATTTGCAAGGGTAATTGGTTTATGTATATATTTATTTTTAGTGTCCAAAAGGGTGCAGAGAACTTAATAGCACAGATGCAGTGATCAAGGTTAAAAGAAAACAAGGGAAGAATCCAGTTGTTGAAGACTGAAATGCATGCCACGGAACCAGTCTCCACCTCATTAACATCAAAGGTCATGCCCAGGCCTGTCATACGTCTACAAGTGAAACGTGAGAGAAAAAAGATTATGTTTTGTTTTCCATAGTAAATCACATTGTTTTACAAGCATAAGTAGTAAGGCAGCCACATACAAAAAAAGCAGTTAGAGATGTTGAAAATCTAAATGTTTTGGCAAAGGCCCTTTATCGCTGTGATTCACAACACTTGTTTGCCAGTCAAACTGTTGTGAGCAAGTTGTCGTGGAAACCAAACAAGTTCAGTATTAAGTGACAATAACTTAATAGTGTTTTTTCATTTTTTCCAAGCAGCATGTTACTGGCTCAGCACCCCATCAAAATCCAGTCAGCTCCTTAGAATGTTGCTGTTCACTTCTCAATAGATAGGTGTGATGGGCTAAACTCCTCCCTGGGACAGTGCTGTTGTCTCTCACTGTAGATCTTCTGGGAGGCTCAGGAGTGCTGGGACACCAAATGTCATCTAGGAATAATCACTAGTGGCAAAGCAGGTGCACCACGGCAGAGACCTACACTGTAGATGCTTCAGCTGCTAGCCCCTAAGAAGACCCCCAGCATGCACTCCCAAATACTGCTCTGCCCCCAGAGCCTAGACACTGCCATTGTGACCCACTGTTCCTCCGCTGGCTTCCAGCTTCAACAGAATCTGCCCCAGACGACCATCATTTCCCTGAAGTGAAAAAGAGAAACAGCAGGTTCCTCCACAGACTTGCCACATGGCCCTCTGCTGACCCTTGGTGTTGGTTACACCAGAGAAGAATTGGCTCATTAAATGTGTTGCCCATGACTGGATGCTACCTTGAGCTAGCACTCTGCACAGGCTCAACATAGGAGCGAGGTAGTGGATGTTGGGAAGATGCTTTGTTTATCTGGGCATCTGAAGGAAAGGCTCCTCACAGCTCCCAGTGGCTGTTGTTCGCTGTTCCCAGTCAATGGGAGCTGTGGGAAGTAGCGCGGGCTGGGCCACCACTTCCTGCAGCTCCCATTGGCCAGGAAAGGTGAACTGTGGCCAGTGGGAGCTGCCAGTGGCCCTACCCACAGACACACAGGTAAACAGAGTGCCTGGCAGCTCCCCGGTGAACTGCGTCCAGATCAATGGCCGCTTATTGCCCACCATTGCCCTAAGCAGAGGATCTCTGCAACAATCTTAATAGGCCCATCAGGCCTATCTGTCCCAGCTGGTACAGTCCACCCAGTAATACAAGAAAGAGAGTGTTCCATGAGGAAAACAAACTCAGTTATCCCATTCCAGGCCAGCCTTCTAGCAGTCAACAGCTTCTATAGGATTTCTCGCTTATTCTTTTCTCACAAAACAGGAGACCCATTTTCTTTCCTAACTACTCTTTAGTACCTTCCCTTTTTAATTGGCCCCTCATTATCTGAGAGTGAGGGCAGGTGTAGTCAGGTGGGCCCCTTGGGCCTCATTAACCTTTGCTGGCTCAGTGTGGATTGGGTGTACTCCACCATGCCTATGGACACTGAAACTGTTGGTCCAGCATAGAATAAATTGAATTGCATCTCAAAGGAAGAGGGTACTGGTTATATAGCTCATTTTCATTGTGAATGCAATGAAAACCTCCACTTCTTTCATTTGCTGGGAGCTGCGACAGAACTCAGCCTGGAGTGCTAGAGAACCCAGGAGGTCTGGCTGCAGACTCTACAGATCCAACTTCCCAGAGGGCATGTGGGGCCTCGCCCAAGGCTTGCTGCCATCACTGTGTAATCACCACACTAGGCCAAAGTCCCGATAATGCCTGCTGCTGGACTAAAACGGCAATTCTGTTCCAAGCCCTGTAGGCTCCTCAGGGAGGCTTCCAAGGGAGTGCATGCAGGGAAAGAATGAGCCATGTGCCTCAGGGCTGCCAGCCTCTCCATCCCAGCTCTTCTAGGCTCCAGTTTGGTACATGGCCCAGGTATTCTCAGATCGTGCTCAGGAGCTGTTGAGCAGCCAATTTAACAGCTAGACTACTGGGCCTGTACATACCGAGGGACACAGCCTCCCACAGACTGTTTACTCTAGCGGCATCTCAGTGCCTCAGTGATTCCGGATCCCACAGTGCCATGTCACTGTGAGATCAGATTGCAATGACACATCCTGATGTGATTTCACCTTGCTGCCTGCCCTCCAGTGGCTTGGACTACACAAGCAAGTTCTACACTTTGCAAGTTCTGTTCTTTCCCCCCTCCTCATTCTGGGCTCAGGCGTGTAGCTGAGGACCCTGGCTTCCTTGCAGTACCTGGCTTCCTGATTTCCATTCCCCAAGCAATATCACCCAGCAGCTTGCAGCTACAATACAAGGCAATGAGGCCAAAATTGGCAAGAGGACTTCCAGCAAACAGAAACAGGACAGCCAAACAACTTGATCGGTGCCAGTAGCTGGAGTGACCATGGGCTGGAGACAGGCGCCTCTATGACTTCTCCAGATTGGTGGCAGCAGAATATGGGCATTTTGCTTTCAAGAAAAAAAACAACCCATTCTAAGCCTTGGTTTAAAAAAAAAAAAAAAAAAAAAAAAAAAAAGGAACTGGTTTATTTATTATTTGTTAATTTCCTGAATCAAGTAATTGAATAAAAATGCGAAATTGAATTGAATTGGAGGTGCCACAGAACTCAGCCTAATCTGGAGAAGCATAAAAATGACTGAGGGAGTTGGGAAGGAATAAGAGAAACTCACAATATAGAAATGATTTTTTTTTCTACTGTGGTAATAATCAGTTCCTGATGTGCTAGGTGCTGTACAAACAGTGAAAAGCAGTCCCTATTCTGAAGATTTTATAGTTGAGTTTGGATGGAGATGTCTAAAAATGACACTCTGGATTGAGATAACCTGAACCTGGGGAGGATGTCTGGATCTAGTTCTGAAGTTCATGGTTACAGAGCATCTCCCTAATGGGTCTCATCAGGAAGCTTGGATCTGAACACCCTTGAACTTGGGTAGAGTTCTTCTGTCCCAGATCCCATTACCCTGACACCTGTCTGCATCACCTCCCACAGCTCCCACTGGCCAAGAACAATGATCTGTGGTGAACTGGAGCTTCAAGAGTCCGTATCTGCAGAGGTGCAGGTAAATAAAGTGCCAGCAGTTCACCAGAGGCTAACCCTAGCAATCCACCTTTGGCTTATTGTCCACCCTTAATCATATGAGATGGAGACGTCCTCCTGCTTCATTCCAAATGTAGAACAGAAATATCTTTGGAGGGTTTATGCCCAAATAAAGTGTCAGTGGCTCACCAGCAGCTAACCCTGGAGAACTGTGTCTGGACTGTGGGCCACTTGTTGCCCACCCCTACTGTAGATGGAATAAAAAGTTCGCCACTGGCAACAATGGAGGACATGAGGTGGCAGCATCTGCTAAAATTAAACATTTTCAAATCGATAGGCCAGAATAATTTACACCCAAGAGTTTTAAAGGAAGTAGCTGGGGAGCTCCATTAGACTATGATGTAAAATCTTTGCTGGCAAACATTACAGATAACACAAAGATTGGTGGGGCAATAAATAATGAGGAAGACAGGTTACTGTTACAGATTGAACTGAATTGCCCATTTAAAATGGGCACAGCCCAACAAAATGTATGAGCGAGGTTATGCTCCTGGGAACAAAGAATGCAGGTGTCATGGAGCACATCACTTACTGCCTGACCGACACTTCCTGCAGGTTCCTCTGAGGATTAGCTCAAAGTGGACACCAGCATCCATGGTTTTCACACCATCGCTGCTTCTCCGCAGTCCACCTGCATTCCTTCCCTCCCCCATCACATCAGGAACTGCAGTGTCCTCTTTATGGCTCAGCCCCTTGGCTGTGTCCTCCCTTACAGAGGAGGGTTAGCTCCTCAATAGACCAGCTACTTCCACAATGGATGGCTGCAGTAAATTATCCTGCCACTTCCCCAGTGCTGAGTGAGTGGGGTATCCAGACCTGACCATTATTCTGGGTGACAGCCCAGACACTCTGTGGGTCACAGCCTCCTACTGTACCTCAAATTCCTCTCACTACTGCTATGTCTCCTTAGCCCAGTTGTCCATGGCCTTAGCACCTTCTCCCTTCCTTGGGGCATTCAACTATCAGTCTCAGCAGGGAGCCATAAGGTCCTCTTACCATTGAGTCCCTGCCAGTGTAGCTCTGTCTAAGATGTCACTGGTCTCTCAGCCTTCTAAACAGACTTCACTCCGTGAGTTCCCAGCAGCAACTGACCCTGTTCTGCCCTGTGTCTTTTTTTAAATGGACCTGTTGGACCCTGATTGTTTGTTCCTCACAGTTGCTCTCCTATTGGCTGCTTCTTGCACAGCAACCCTAGGGATCTATTAACCCCTTCTCTGCCACTGTGGAGCAGATGCCCATCATAGAAGGTTATACCTATGGGATGGGAGATTGTCTTGGAAAGTAGATAGATAACTGCCTCAGCATGAGCTCTCTGGGAAATGCTGTGACTAAAAGAGCTGATGTAAACTGTAGATGTGTAAAAAGGGGAATGTCTAGCAGAAGTAGAGAGGTGATCTTATTTTTGTACACAGAATGGTAAGGCCACCACTAGAATACTGTGTCCAGTTTTGGTGTTCACAGTTCAGAAAGGATGAAGGATGGTGGTTCACAAAATGGTCCAGGGATGGAGAACAAGTCTTTGGATGTGAGGTTTAAAGAGCTCAATCTTATCAAAGAGAAGACTGAGAGGTGCTGTGATCCCTGTGTGTAGGTGCTTACAGACAGAAGAGACAGAGGAGAGTTGGGGGGCAATAAGAAAGAGACAGCCTTCCAGATGAAGATTGTCTAGATCCAATGGATGGAGGCTGAAGTTATACAAATTAAACCTTGAACTATTGGTGCAGTTTCCTAGCAGTGATGCCAATTAACCATTGGAACATCTTAGCAGGGTTGGTGGTGGACTCAATGTGTGGAATCTTTAAAACAAGATCAGCTATCTTTTGGAAAGATGTGTGGGAGAGAACTTCTGTGTGGTGGTGTGAACATGTTGGTCAGACTAGTTTATCACAGTGATTCCTAAGGCAGCTGAAGTAGAAGACAAATTGAGTGAGCATCAGGAAATGCTATTCCACTAACACTTGGAAAACACAATCTGTTGTTGGGAATGCACAACTCCCATTCCCTTTTGAAGAAGGGTCAAAGTTCACCTGAGATGCCTATGGCAGTGAGTGGTGGGATTCTATAAATTCCTTCTGCTTGCATATAAGCTTCCTTGCCCCCTGACTCATGCTCCAGCAAAGGAAACACTCAGACAATGTGTTAAATATCAGGGGGCATCAGGAAATGTTTTAACGTTTGAGGTATGTGACATGATGGCTGGGTTTTTTTAGATTTGGAACAGGGCTGGGTTTCCTGATCCTCTTACACTAAACAGCCTGCAATTCAATTCCAGGCTGTGTCATTGATCCTGACTGGAGACCTCTTGGAATGAGAGCCCCTCAGAAAGTTATTTCACACGTGCAGAACAATTTCCGCCCGTGAAGCAGAGGCAAATTGCAAAAGGAATGAAAATAATCCTTTGGATTTATTTAGAACTTTGAGTGGTGCTGAATCACATTACAGGAGAAGGGTGGTATGGAGGAGAAGGATGAAGTGGCACCTAGGCTGCCATGCAAAGGAGCAAAATTGTAACTGTCATTAGTTTGTTCATGAAAAGATGCCAACTGCCAACTAGTCATAATGGCACAAAGGCAAAAAGCTCTTCTGACTGCAGGCATTTATTACAATGCACCACACTCACTCTTGTCATTTGGATGAGATGTGGAGCCCAGACCATGAGGCCATTACAGATCTTGCATGACTTTTTGCAAGTGAGTTCTCACCAAAGCAGGTAGATATAGTTGGACTACCTAAGATTTCCACCACAGCTTCAGCTGAAGTCAGAATTCTTCATTTCCAGAAGTACATTGATGTACAGTGTTGCTGTATGCTGTGAGACAGCTGCTAGTAATCCCTGTACAGCTCACGTGGCTAGTGATCCCCGTATAGCCTTTACCTACCTGATTGGGAGAATGACTGAATTAGTGCTGCAGGGATGTGCCTGCATCAAAACCCAGATCCAAGCACCCTGACATTTAATAAGGCTGGATAAACAACGATCACATTACAGGAGAAGGGTTAAACAAAGAATCATACAGGGGGAGGACACAAGGGGATCAGAATTACTTAAAAGCAAAAAGGAAGAATGATTTGATTCTTGTCCCAGTTCAATGTAAGTAATGAATTCCTTTGGAACATTGGCTGAGCTCCTTTGTCTTCCTGTAGAGGGCTGGGGTCTCTCAGCAAAGTAAATTATAAGCAATTAAAACTGAATGAAAGACTTCACTGGTAGATCTCAAAGTGCTTTAAAAAGGTCACAATCATTAGCTTCCTTTTACAAATTGGGGAAACTTAGGCACAGAGAGGTGCATTGACCTGCCCAAAGTTATCCAGCAGGCCAGCGGCAGAGCCAGGAACAGATGAACAGATTCCAGGTCTCCTGAGTTCTAATTAAGTCCTCTGTCTCTCAGCCCACACACAGTGTAACCTGCAAGTGAGCAAACATACACATGCATGCATACATCCACATACAACAGAGGTGGGGAATCTTTGGCCCCCGGATTGCCTGGATCTGGCCCGAGGCTCAGTGTCTTTCTCCTTCTCAATCGGGCCACGTCAGTGAAGGGTTTTTTTGTTTTGTTTTTTTGCTTCTGACTTGTTGTGGCCCCCCCGACAGATTTTTCTGTGGGTCAGTGGCCCCCGACCCAAAGAAGGTTCTCCATCCCTGACATACAATAATACAACCCTTTCTGCCTGCACAAGCCCTGAAGGGCTAGTAATTCATGCCACTAATTCTTTCTGGAAGAGCCTCTTTTATTGCTGGGTGGGGAAGCGGAAAGCCAAATGGCTCTGGCTGAGGAGAGCAACTCAAGGTACTGTAGGAGTCTAACTAATTGCTGTACTGGCTCGAGGTGGGGATAGGGCAAGAAAGCTTGCCAGTGAATACTGCATAGCTGAGCTTTCAGCCTTCCACCCTTTAAAGGATGAAACGTAAGGGAAGGTGTCAGAAGTCAATTTGCTTTGGCATAGAGAAAGAGAAAATACAGCTGGCCTGGAGCCAGGGGGTTCTTACTGGATGCAACAGAACAGATGAGTATTTGTGTGTGTCCCAGCACCCACAGGCTTGGCACTTGGTGCCGCCGGGGGGATGAGGGTGGAGGAAGGGTTTCTGTGGAGGAAGGGTACTTCTGTCTATTCCTCACTTCAGAATGGGGGGTAGTGGGAGGGGAGAGCACTTGGGTGGGGAGTAAAGAGGATTTCTTTTAGCTACATAATATTGTCTGTTGTAACCCTTGATATACTGGTATTTTCCAGCCAGCCAGCCAAAGGAATGACTTAAGGGACACTCATTAGCAATGGTTTCAAGGAGAACTATAATGGAGCTAACTCATGGACCAGTGTGTCACCTCATGGCATAGCATGGCATTGTAGCAGTTCCCCTGTTTCCCTTGCCAGAGACGTCATCTCTTCTGACAACGTCTCTCTTTGTAGGTAGGTCTCTTACGTAGTCTCTTCTTACAATGCATGGCCTCTAGCCAGGTCATAAATAATCATACACCTTCTGAGGTAGTCAAGAGGCCAACTGGCCAAACATCCCATGATCCAGTATTGACTCATCAGTCCCAGTGCGGGCTCTGTTGTCCTTGCCCTGTCTTCCTCAGCAAGGCTTTCATATTCCCCCTTCCTTGGCCTAGTTGGGGTACCTAGGCCCATCCTCTCAAGTAGATCCAGCACGAGGGCCTTTGTTCAGACATCTAAGTCAGGCTCCTGACAAGCTCTTTCTGCTTCCTTTGGCTGCTTCCCAATCTCCACCTGTCCACAAGTGTCTTTCCCAGAGCTATATCTCCTGCCTCCAATGTTGGGAAGTCTGACTCCCTGTGTAGCTACTTGCCAGTCTATTGCTGAGGAGCCTGTTCTTGGCAGGACCCAGCCACCCTGGCAACTGCCTGGAAGCCTTTCACATTGCTGCCTTTCCCATCAGGGCCATGCTGCCCCTCTCCTCTCTTAGGGTATGTCTACACTAGAAAGTTAGTTCGAACTAACGGACGTTAGTTCGAACTAACTTTCCTATGCGCTACACTAGCGCTCCGTTAGTTCGAACTTAATTCGAACTAACGGAGCGCTTAGTTCGAACTAGGTAAACCTCATTTT